TGACGAACCACGTATTGACGAACCACGTATTGACGAACCACGTATTGACGAACCACGTATTGACGAACCACGTATTGATGAACCACATATCATTAAATTCCACCCTGTAGCATCAGATCTGATCTGTGGGCTCTGACTCTTCTTTAGCCGACGTGTGAGTTTAAACTCAGGAGTTGCTCAGATCTTAGTGGGACTGAAGAACCATCAGTCATTAAGATAATAACAGTTTCAGTCTTCTGAGGTTTTAAAAGGATTTAAAGTAGATCAAAGGTTGTTCTGCTGTAATTAAAGTCAAGTTTCTGTCTTTTAGTCTCAGTAGGAAGCGGATCACAGGAACCTTGACTCGTGTAACACAGAACATCCAAACGTCCCACAAACCTGCAGAAAATCAATTCAGTTTATTTCTAAAGCACCAGTTCACAACAAAGTTGTCTCAGGTCTTTACAGGAACATTCACATAAAAGACAATTAGTAAAGTTCTCTATCTGAGGAATCAGCAGAAAAGTTGAATTTTCACTACGTTGCAGTCTCCCATCCTGAGCAAGCACAGTGGCAACAGCATAACTACGGGACAGCTCAGGAAACCCAAGCCGACCCTAACTATAGGATTTATCAAAAAGGAAAGACTTAATCCCAGTCTTAAACTGGACAATGTGTCAGCCTCACGGACAGAAACTGGAAGTTGGTTCCACAAGAGAGGAGCCTGAGAACTGAAAGATCTTCCTCCCATTCTGCTGCTGGAAACTCTAGGAACCACAAGTAAACCTGCAGTCTGAGAGTGAAGTGCTCTGTTAGGAAAATATGGAACAATAAGATCTGTAATATAAGATGGAGCTAGGTTGTTGAGAGCTTTGTAGGTTAGAAGTAAGATTTAGAATTCTATTCTGGATTTGACAGGGAGCCAATGGAGAGAAGCTAAAACTGGAGAGAGATGATCTCTCCCAGTAACTCCAGTTAAGACTCTGGCAGCAGCATTTTGGATCAACTGAAGACGTTTTAAAGAAGTATTTGGACACCCAGATAATAAACCATTGCAATAGTCCAGTCTAGACGTGACCAATGCATGGACCAGTTTTTCTGCATCATTTTTTCTTCACTCTACTTCTGTCTTTACTTACTCTGCTCAACCTGTTTTGTATTTGTAATTATTTGTTCCATCTTTAACATGTTTTTGTCTTTCAGGGACACCTGGACCTACATCTGGACCTGGACCTATACCTGGACCTACCATTCTGTGTTCGTCTGTCTCTCCTTCCTGTCCTCTCAACCAGCCGGTCAAAGCAGATGGTCTCTTGTCCCGAGCTGGTTCTGCTGGAGGTTTCTTCCTGTTAAAGGGAGTTTTTCTTTCCACTGTCTCCACTGTGCTTGCTCAGGATGGGAGACTGAGACGAAGACAAGATTCAACTTGTCTGATGGATTCCTCAGATAGAGAAATTTACTAACTGGCTTTTTTTTTATGTATGTGAATGTTTCTGTAAAGTCCTGAGACAACTTTGTTGTGATTTGGAGCTTTATAAATAAACTCAATTGAATTGAAATTTTTAGATCAGATGTTTCTAGTGATATTACACAGGTGGAAGAAGACAAAATGAAGATGAAATGAAGAAACGAGAAGTCATCTTTGTTTTTGCAGCGGAGACGGTCGTTCGCTCAGACGAACAGATAATTCAGGAAAAGTTTGGTTTAATTTGGTTTAACTTGGTTTAATTTGGTTTAACTTGGTTTAACTTGGTTTAATTTGGTTTAACTTGGTTTAACGTCAGCTGCTTTAATTTAAAACACAATAATTCTCAAAGTTTACCTCAGAACCAACCACTTTATCCCATCATGCATCTGTGAATGTCTGGCTCCAGACGGGACATTTTGGGTTTTTTCCTGCGTGCCTGAACAAGAAGCCGACAGTGGATGTGTGTGTGTGTGTGTGTGTGTGTGTGGTGGGTGGGGGTGGGGGGTCTTCAGCTGGTTGTAATTAGTGTTTGTAGATAAACTTTTAAATGACTCTGGTTTGGAGCTGAAATCGACTCGTTTCAGAACACGTTGTGAAATTAAGTCTGAGAGTTCAACATGCTGCAACAGTTTGGAGCCATGCTGGTTCTGAACGGGTCCGGTGTTTGTGTTTCAGGACTGGGTGACGGCCACAGACATCAGAGTGACCCTGAACAGGCTCAACACGTTCGGAGACGAGGTGTTCAACGACCCCAAGGTCCTCAAGTCCTACTACTACGCCATCTCTGACTTCGCTGTGGGAGGAAGGTGAGACCAGGCGGCTGATGGCCGGTTCTGATCCGAGTTCTGCATCTTGTCTGAGTGAAGTCAGGTGGTTCTGTAGGTCCTGTCCGGTTTGGACAGTATTAAACACGGAGCTGCTGCGGTTGTAATCCATCTGAAACGTGGAGCAGATTTCTGATTCACAGCCAACATTCCTGGCATTCCTGTTCAGCAGAGCTGGATTACAGGGAAACCGGAACGGGGCGGCCCAATTCCCATGATGGATGAAGAGACAAGGGGAGCCCAGAGTCAGGCGGTTAGGGAAGTGAAGCTCCTCCCACTTTTACCTGAAGGCTTTGTTCTTCTTTAACTGGAAAACAAGAGTCCAGTGAACCCTGGACTTCCTTTCAGGACCCAGAGGAACATATTTATTAACAAGCTGTGGGTCAAAAGACTCCTCCTTCTGACTGTAAAATCAAACAGAACGAGTTAATCCTGAACTCTAACCCCACCCCCCACCCCCCACCCCCCACCCCCCACCACCCTCAACAGGTCTGGCTTCGACCACACGTCTATGGGGGGAATGTTTTACAGCTTTTAGTGAATTTAATCTTTGACGTTCTGCTGCCAAAGCTCAGAGCTCATCGTTCCTGGTCCAGACGCAGGTTCAGAAGCGTTTTGTGTTGTGGGAGGAACTCCTGACACTGATAACAGAACAGGCTTTCATCCCCGTGCACACCTTCATCAACTTTAATTAAACGTGAGCAGGTAAAGCTTCCAGCAGCTCCTGGTCTGAGCACAGGTTGTTCTTGAACTGGATGTGAAGTGAGGGCCCTCAGGAGACATTTTGTCCTCCTCAAGTCTTCTCTTGTGGTGAACATGTTGCTCTCACAGTGACGTCACGAGCTCTGATGACAGATTTCTGGTTTCCTCTCCGCTCTAACGAGGGTTTGATTTATTGCCAAAGGTAAACCACCTGTTGTCTTTTGTTTTTATGGGCGTCGTCTGGTCATAACACCTGAAGCACAGAGCTTGTACCTCAAACTGTGATCCAGGTAGGTCTTATTCTACCTGAACTTTTATTAGTTTTCCCTCCACTGTCAGTTTTTCCATGGCTCTGTGCCAACAGACACCTGAAACAATAACTGCAGGAGGCTGCTGAGCATGTCCCCACCTGTCACACCTGTACACCACAATACCTCCTAAATACCTGCTGGATACTTGTCCCCACCTCCTGGTTAAATGTCTCCACCTCCTGGATACCTGTTGGGAGGCTTAACTCCACCTGAGCAGGTTAAATCAAACCTTCAACCAGACTCAGAAACATTCTCAACATCACTCTGACACAGAGTTAAACTCCAGTGATGTCTTAAAGTTATGAGCTGTGTGTCGTCAAGTGTAACAGGTGTGTGTTTAGTTCAGGTGTAACATTGTGTTTTTGTTTAGACCAGGTGTAACATTGTGTTTTTGTTTAGACCAGGTGTAACAGTGTGTGTTTAGTGCAGTTGTAACAGTGTGTGTTTAGACCAGTTGTAACAGTGTGTGTTTAGACCAGGTGTAACAGTGTGTGTTTAGACCAGGTGTAACAGTGTGTTTTTGTTTAGACCAGGTGTAACATTGTGTTTTTGTTTAGACCAGGTGTAACATTGTGTTTTTGTTTAGACCAAGTGTAACATTGTGTTTTTGTTTAGTGCAGTTGTAACAGTGTGTGTTTAGTTCAGGTGTAACAGTGTGTGTTTAGACCAGGTGTAACAGTTTGTGTTTAGACCAGGTGTAACAGTGTGTTTTAGTTTAGACCATGTGTAACAGTGTGTGTTTAGTCCAGGTGTAACAGTGTGTGTTTAGTTCAGGTGTAACATTGTGTGTTTAGACCAGGTGTAACAGTGTGTTTTTGTTTAGTCCAGGTGTAACAGTGTGTGTTTAGACCAGGTGTAACAGTGTGTTTTTGTTTAGTCCAGGTGTAACATTGTGTTTTTGTTTAGACCAGGTGTAACATTGTGTTTTTGTTTAGTCCAGGTGTAACAGTGTGTGTTTAGTTCAGGTGTAACAGTGTGTGTTTAGTTCAGGTGTAACATTGTGTTTTTGTTTAGTCCAGGTGTAACATTGTGTTTTTGTTTAGTCCAGGTGTAACATTGTGTTTTTGTTTAGACCAGGTGTAACATTGTGCTTTTGTTTAGACCAGGTGTAACATTGTGTTTTTGTTTAGTCCAGGTGTAACAGTTGTGCTTTTTCTCATCTAGGTGTAAGTGTAACGGCCACGCCAGCGAGTGTGTGAAGAGCAGCAGCGGACGGCTGGTGTGTAACTGTAAACACAACACGGAGGGCGTCGACTGTAACGTGTGCAAACCGTTCTACAACGACCGGCCCTGGAGGAGAGCTACGGCCGACAACGCCAACGAGTGTCTGCGTGAGTCTGGGCCACAGGACGGCACTTGAATGCATCGTGCTCTGCACCAGCACATGGTCCTGAGTAACATACAGAAGTAATCTGAGACAGGAAACACTCGCAGACACGACCCTCGGCAGGAAATCTGAGTTGCTGTTCCAGTTGTCAGACCAGAGTCCCAGGGGGATTGTGGGAGTTGTAGTTCCTGCTGCAGATGCATGACTAAACAGTTCCTTTACTCCCACACTTCCTCCAGATAACTGGAGGAAGGTGATGAAACTGTTTTTATGACCAAATAAAGCTCCGTGTTGATCACGTTCATCCTGTTCAGAACCACAGAACCTCATCTGGTTCTGAATCCAAACAGGTTTCAGTTTTAAAACTTAACTGTAATAAAAGTTGATGTCTTAGCACATGCTGGTGAAGATTCAAGTCCTCCAGGTCATGATGAATAAAAACAGGTGGACTTCTGTTCTGAAGCTGGAGGCGCTTCTCTTCAGAAATGTCTGAGTGGAGCTGCAGAGAGGCCCGATGACAGGATGGAAGAGGACCGTCTGCAGCTTCAAAATAAAAGCACAGTTGTTTTTGAAAGGTCAATGAGAACATTTTAAATCAGCGTTTTCCTGAAGTCAGGAAACATTTGACGCCGGTATTCAATCAGTCTCAAGTAACAGACTTGGTTTTAAAGTGTGGATTGAATTTAAATGCAGCTTCAGCTCCACCAGAACCAGCAGGATGTTTTAGAGATTCTTCTCGGCTGTCAGTAAAATATTTAGCTGCTAACGGCCTCCTCATCAAGCCTGTAGTTAGCTGTTTAAAGCTAACATGCTAACTCCTGTAGCTCGTTGTGAACATTTGTTTCAAAGACTGTTGCTCCTCTGGTGGGCGAGCCGTGGCCGACCGGGTCAAGGTCCGGATGAACAGAACCACGAGCAGAACCTGTCTTGTATTAACAAGCGTTCAGGAGGAACGTTAGAGATGTGTAACTTGTGTTTGTGTCGCCTCAGCCTGCGACTGTAACGGGAAGAGCTCCGAGTGTTACTTCGACGCCGAGCTGTACCGGGCCTCGGGTCACGGAGGTCACTGCAGGAACTGCGCCGACAACACGGACGGGCCCAACTGTGAGCGCTGCCTGGACTTCTACTACAGAGAGCAGAGCGGCAGCCGCTGCCTGCCCTGCAGCTGCAACTCCGTCGGTGAGCGTCTTTGGAGGAGGGGCGGGGCTTGGCTGGGCTCCTCTGATTGGTTGGCTTTAATATTTAAAAAGTGTTTGTTTCCATGGAAACAAGGAATGATGGTAACAAGAAGCAGTTTTTTAGATATCTTTTTAAGGTCAAAGGTTAATGAGCTCTCTGTATTTGTGTGTGTGTGTGTGTGTGTGTGTGTGTGCGTGCGTGTGTGTGTGTGTGTGTGTGTGTGTGTGTGTGTGTAGGTTCTGATTCTCCACAGTGTGACAGCAGAGGAGTGTGTGCATGTAAACCAGGAGTGACCGGAGAGAAGTGTGACCGCTGCCAGCCAGGATACCACAGTCTGACTGAGGCCGGCTGCAGGTACACAACCACACCCTCTGACCCCTGATCAGCTGGTCCTGACCCCTGATCAGCTGATCCTGACCCCTGATCAGCTGGTCCTGACCCCTGATCAGCTGGTCCTGACCCCTGATCAGCTGATCCTGACCCCTGATCAGCTGGTCCTGACCCCTGATCAGCTGATCCTGACCCCTGATCAGCTGGTCCTCACCTCTGATAGAACCTCATGGACCAGGGTACTTTGTGGAGCCTTTAACAGAATATTTTGGTCCATGTCAGTGGTTTTCAAAGCTGTGGGTCTGGACCCAACTATGGGTCATGAAGACCTGGTGGGGGTCATGAGAAGAGCTACAGAATACAAATAAAGCTTAAAAATAAAATATTTAATCTGAACTTTATTAAGAGATGAAAACTGGACTCTAACATGAGAGAAAATAATCAAAAGTTTTTATCAAAAGTTTAATACAAATGTTTTTATGTTTCTAATAATCAACGTCTGAAACTTTTATTGTTTGGGGGAAAAACTGAAAGTTTTTCAAACATCTTTTCTTTATGGGTTCCTTTCATCGTTTCATTTTAATTTATTTTACAAACCGTGTCCCAGGAGCAGAACCAGGTTCTTGTAGGTTCTACTGGGTAACAATCATATCGGTCTTTATTTTGACTGGTGTGTGAGCGCCCCCTGCTGGTCCAACCTTTAACTCCACGAAGCAGAAGAAATAAAAAATCTAGCACGAGTGTGGGCTGCGGCCCCCTGGGGGGCTGCCATGGGGTGCTAGGGGGTCTCAGAAACCTGGAGAGAATACGATTAAAAAAAAAAATTTTAAGCATAAAAATATATATTTTTTAAATTATTATTTTTTTATTTCTGTAATACAGTTACACAACATTAAAAAATTACTATAATGTAAAAAGTTACAAAAAGTAAAACCCTACAATCTAGCTGTTTTTTTGTTACATTTTCTTTAATGAACATTTTATTTTCATTTATTAAAAAAAACAAAAACTCAATTTGTAGCATCCTTCATGATCGTCCACTGTCGTCATCACTCTTTGTTAAACCAGGTCTCTCTTGTAAACGAGTCCCTGAGGCTCAATGGGACTAACCTGTAGAAATAAAGGTGGAAGGAAAAAATCAAATCACATCTATTTTTCATTCATTATTTTAAAATATACTTTATAATCTTGAATATTTTTCATCACCCTCATCTTCCTGATTGGCTGCCAGTCAGATGTATCAAGCTGCTTTACTCAAAGCACGGACGAAACCAAGACGTTTCTAAAAGACCGAAGGAACCGACCGGCAGCCCTGATAATAATAATAATAATAATAATAAAGAACTCATGACCAGCTAAAATTTAAAGGTATGAGGAAGCACACATGAAGTTTTACAGTCGTACAGAAAAATGTCCATGATTGTCTGAAGGGCGTCGTCTGTCTGGAGACCCTCGTCACGAACGAGTGTTTAAAACCTTCGAAACTTCAGCGTCACTTGAGTGAGAATATAAAACATGTTAGTTAATAACGTTTTAATGCTCAGCAGCTTTAATGAATTGAAAATAGTGAATAAAAGTTAAAACATTGTAACAGTTGATGTTTCTTGACATAATTTGTAGCGTAGTTTGTACCAGAAGCTAAAGCTGGTTGGGGGGCCATGGCATGGAAAAGTTTGGGAACCCCTGAACTAGCAGACCTGCAGCTGTTTCCAGATGTCATCAAACTGAACCTCAGTCTGATTGTGACAGAAACAGGACCGGTCCAGTTCCACGGTTCTGTCCGGGCCATGCTTTGTGTTGTCCGTCACTGTCTGTCATTGTTTGTCTTTGCGGCGGTCGTTGTGTGTTTGTAAGTCCAGGCAGGTTTACTTTATGAGATCATTTAAATATTTAACAACATGTAAGAAACTATAAAAATACATTTGACAAACACAGATAGTGACAACAGTTTAACATTTTTCATGAAAGGAAACAAACATGAGTGAAAAAGTTTAAAAACGCCACCAACCAGCTCTGTTTGAGCTGTGGGTCATTCCTCCCTTCTTCTTGTCTGCCAGGCCGTGCGCCTGCTCGCCTTCAGGCAGCACTCAGGAGTGCGACGTCAACACGGGTCAGTGTCGCTGCAAAGACAACGTTGAGGGCTTCAGCTGCGACAGGTGACTCCACGATCACACGGTGCTCACTTCCTGTCTCCTAACGAGCCGTTTCTCGTTAGCGCTCTTGTTTCTGTCCCTCAGGTGTAAACTAGGCTTCTTCAACCTGGACCCCAACAACCCTCAGGGCTGCCTGCCCTGTTTCTGCTTCCAGCACTCGTCGGTGTGCGGCAGCGCCGAGGGTTACAGTGTCCACACCATCAGCTCCTCCTTCCAGAGAGGTAACGCCGCCTGCAGGCACAACTCAGGGGAGAAATAACCCACAGTGGAAATGGCAGAAGCTGAATCTGAGTTTTTATCTTCAGATGACGAGCAGTGGCGCGGTCAGCGGAGAGACGGCTCCAGCGTCTCCGTCCGGTGGTCTCCCAGTGGACAGGAAGTGTCTCTCGTTTCTGATGACTACTTTCCCATTTACTTCATCGCTCCAGGTCCGTACACACACACACACACACACACATACCTGACCCCCCACAGTCCTGAAGTCCAAGAGGTCATAGGTCAGTTTTTGATCTGGCTTGTAGTTTTCACCCAGCGACTGTCCGAGGCTTACTTTTTACTCTGTTTCAGCCTGTTTTACAAAGTGCTGCTGATTAGGCTCCTCCCCATTTCTGCTTCCCTTAAAAAGGTGTGAATCACCATGGCAACCAGTGACTCCACAGATCTGGGGTCACAGGTTTCCATATTTCCCAGCATGCTTCTCGTGTTTTTCCATCATGGCCGCCCCCTCAGATCCTGCAGAAGTTCAGGCAGGAACCTCTTCAGAACCTTTCAACAGTTCTGCAGAACCAGTCTGACCCGTTTTGTTTGCTGTGTCCCAGGGAAGTTTTTGAGGAACCAGATGTTGAGTTACGGACAGAACCTGAGCTTGAACTTCCGGGTGGAGCGGCGGGACATCCGCCTGTCAGCCGAGGACCTGATCCTGGAGGGGGCGGACCTGCGTGTGTCCGTCCCCCTCATCGCCCAGGGCAACGGCTACCCCAACGACAACATGCAGACCTACGTGTTCAGGTCAGGGTTCTGGTTCAGGAGATCTGTTCACACACAGCTTTACCTCTGGATTAATAATCCAGATTAATTTTAATTAGATGTGGTGTTGTGTGAACCAATCTGGATTGGGTCCTAATTAATCCTTTAAATAATCAGATGTTTGCTAATCTCCATGTCCTGCTTCGATTCCTCAGGTTTGTGTTAATCTTTAGTCCTGTGTTTGGTCATAATCCTAATCTGGTTGTGGTTGTGTTCAGGCTGCATGACACTCAGGACAACACCTGGAGGCCTCGGATCGGACACTTTGACTTCCAGAAACTTCTCCACAATCTGACGGCCATCAAGATCCGCGGCACCTACAGCGAGAGGAGTACGCACAAATATACACAAATACACACAGATATATGTACAAATACGCACGGATATATGTACAAATACGCACAGATATATGTACAAATACGCACAGATATATGTACAAATACGCACAGATATATGTACAAATACGCACAGATATATGTACAAATACACACGGATATATGTACAAATACGCACAGATATATGTACAAATACGCACTGATATATGTACAAATACGCACAGATATATGTACAAATACGCACAGATATATGTACAAATACGCACAGATATATGTACAAATACGCACGGATATATGTACAAATACGCACAGATATATGTACAAATACGCACAAATATACACAAATACGCACAGATATATGTACAAATACGCACGGATATATGTACAAATACGCACAGATATATGTACAAATACGCACAGATATATGTACAAATACGCACAGATATATGTACAAATACGCACAGATATATGTACAAATACGCACAGATATATGTACAAATACACAGATATATGTACAAATACATACAGATATATGTACAAATACGCACAGATATATGTACAAATACGCACAGATATATGTACAAATACGCACAGATATATGTACAAATACATACAGATATATGTACAAATACGCACAGATATATGTACAAATACATACAGATACACATACAAATATGCGCACGTACACAGACGCACACAGTTCCACCTGTAAACGTCTCATCCTGTTTGTGTCTGCAGGTGCTGGTTACCTGGACGACGTCTCCTTGGTGACAGCGAGGCGGGGCCCAGGTGTTCCGGCCCAGTGGGTGGAGCAGTGCACGTGTCCTCAGGGTTACCAGGGTCAGCACTGTGAGCAGTGCACCATGGGATACCGCCGTGCTCGGCCTCAGCTTGGCGCCTTCAGCTCCTGTGAGCCGTGCAACTGCCATGAACACAGCGATGCCTGCCACCCCGAAACAGGTAACTGGGTTTACTGGTAACTCTGGGTTCAATGATAACTCTGTGTCCACTGGTAACTCTGGGTTTACTGGTAACTCTGGGTTCAGTGATAACTCTGTGTCCACTGGTAACTCTGGGTTTACTGGTAACTCTGGGTTCAATGATAACTCTGTGTCCACTGGTAACTCTGGGTTTACTGGTAACTCTGGGTTTACTGGTAACTCTGGGTTTACTGGTAACTCTGGGTTCAGTGATAACTCTGTGTCCACTGGTAACTCTGGGTTTACTGGTAACTCTGGGTTCAGTGATAACTCTGTGTCCACTGGTAACTCTGGGTTTACTGTAGGGCTGGACGATGTGGCCAAAACTTTTATCACAATATATTTCTTAATTTCGATCGATAACAATATAATTTGATATTGATATAAACAAAATAAAAGCCTCATAAAAACTGTACAAATAAATTAATGTTAATCTTTTATTTGTATTTACTGGGAGCTTTCAAAAAATTTTCAAATCACCCTCAAATAAACATAAAACTCTCAACTTTGTCAATATCCATCAATCAATCAACTTTATTGTCCATAACATTCAATGAAATGGAGATTTGTCTTTGACATCTGGCTCATAAAAACAACACAAGTTAAAAATGTCATAAAAAAAACTTTAAAAACTTTAAAAAGCTTTGCTGACTCTGTTAAAACCGTTCTAAAATACACGATACATTAAACTGGGAACATCCCAGCGACAGTGGTTTGTCACGTGAGGCTGCGTTTAAATCGGACCTTGTTAAGTTCATTCACCGCGGAGGGAACAAATGACTTTTTGTACCATTTATCTTCACCAGTGGAACCAGCAGTCTTCTGCCAGATGGTCCCAGCCTGAATAATGGTTGCAGTGGATCAGTTGGCTCTTTGTAAACCTGGATTGACTTTTTTCCAGAACCTGACTACAGGTCTGTAGGTGTCATTTGTTGATGACCAGTGACTTTACGACCTTGTTTGACCCCGGGACAACTTGTTCCTGTCTCTGACTGGGAGGTTCCCAGACCATGAGACAATATTAAAGGAAACAACACTTTCAACCAGTTGGGTTATCCGATTATGGACCTTGTTGAGGAGGGAGAGAGTGGCATCCTCCACCCTCGGTTAGTCCTATAGGCAAACTGCATGGGGTCCATATGCTCAGCTGAGTTCCCTGCTCACCAAGCGCTCCATACAGTTGCATAATACAGATGTGAGGGCAGTTGTTCTGGTCATATGTCATACATCTGGTGCTTTACCTGCCGGCGTGCTGGAACCACGTTACAGCCAGTACTGAAACTTGACACTGAGTTCTGCTCTGCTGACTCCTTCAAGCTGTGGTGTGCGTCCCCACGCAGTCACACACTTGTGTCGCACCTTTTTCTGTTCCAGTTTCAACATAAAGGTTTCAGTGAAACGCTGACATCGTATCGAAATATCCAAAATCTGCTTAAAACTCAAATCACCGTTATTGAATAAAAGTATATCATGATATATATCGATATCGACGTTGTCCAGCCCTAGGTAGCTCCATGTTCACTGGGAACTCTGGGTTCATGGGGTTATCAGATCTTCTGGCAGGTTTTTCACACTGTTTTAGACTGACTGTTTTTGACTGACTGCTTTAGACAGACTGTTTTTGGCTGACTGTTTTTGGCTGACTGTTTTTGACTGACTGTTTTTGACTGGCTGTTTTTGACTGGCTGTTTTTGGCTGACCGTTTTTGACTGACTGTTTTTAACTTGCTGTTTTTGACTGACTGTTTTTGGCAGACTGTTTTTTGACTGGCTGTTTTTGGCTGACTGTTTTCAACTGACTGTTTTTGCCCGACTGTTTTTGGCTGCCTGTTTTAACTGTCTGTTTTTTAACTGACTGTTTTTGACTGACTGTGGACATTTATAATATAATGTTCCTGGTTTTGTGACAGATTTCTTGGGCGTGTTTTTTTTTTGTTACCTGCTCATCACTCAGGACTTAATGTCCTCAGCTGATTGTGACAGTTGCTCCGACCATCAGGAGGTGAACAGGCTCTCTGTTGTGCGTCTGTTTCTCCAGGAGCGTGTGACTGTCAGGACAACACCGGAGGTTTGAGCTGCGAGCGTTGTAAGGACGGTTTCTACGGCGACGCCACTCAGGGGACACCCAACGACTGTCAGCCGTGTCCCTGCCCGCCGGGGGCCACCTGTGCTGTCGTCCCCAAAACCAGAGAGGTGGTCTGCACCAACTGTCCCACTGGAACCACAGGTACTGGACCGGACACAGACCTTCAGAACTGCCTTGCTGTTCTGAAACTGAGCTGTTTTGTAGCTGTCAGTGTAAACACGAGTGTTCTCACCTGTGTGCAGGTAAGCGCTGTGAGCTCTGCGACGACGGGTTCTTTGGGGATCCTCTGGGTCAAAACGGGCCGGTCCGAGCCTGCCGGGCCTGCCAGTGCAGCAACAACATCGACCCCAATGCAGTCGGTAACTGCAACCGCGAGACCGGAGAGTGCCTGAAGTGCATCTACAACACCGCCGGCTTCTTCTGTGACCACTGCAAGGATGGTTTCTACGGCAACGCCCTGACCTCTGACCCAACCGACAAGTGCAAACGTAAGAGTCCAACAACGACCCCGCCCGTCCGAGTCGATTATTTTCGTCTCCCTTTAGTTATCGTCAGGAATGAAGCAGAACTCAGTTTTTGAAACAACTTTTGAAGTCGTACATTCCTCGAGCTTTGATTTAAGCAATAAAATGTTGTTGATTTGGCAATTTAAGCCCCGCCTCCTCACATTTTACTGGGCGGAGCTTAATGAGGACACACACTTCAAAAGTTACATTAGAGCTCTTATAATCTGTGAACCTTCAACTCCAATCAGGCTCATTGTTGCTTTGCTGTTGCTAATGCTCCTTCTTCTCCTCATTCTTCTCCTCCTCCTCAGCCTGCTCCTGCTCCCCGCTGGGCACCGTGAATCAGCAGACCAGCTGCTCTCAGGTCACCGGTCAGTGTCAGTGTCTCTCCAATGTGATCGAGCGGGACTGCAGCGCCTGCCAGGCTGGATTCTTCAACCTGCAGAGCGGCGACGGCTGCGAACGGTCGGTTCCTGCCTGATGTCCACCTCAGCTCCTGTCAACGCGCTGCACCAACCGCTAACACGTTTGTCTCTGGGCGTGTCCGCAGGTGTAACTGTAACTCCATCGGCTCCACCAGCGGCCTGTGTGACATCGTCTCGGGTCAGTGCGAGTGTCAGCCTGGCGTCACGGGCCAGCACTGCGAACGCTGTGAGGTCAACTTTTTCGGCTTCAGCCCGTCGGGATGCAAACGTGAGCAGAACTTCCTCAACACATCAGATCATCACTCCGAAATACAGTGGTCCCTCGTTTATCGCAGGTGTTTCGGACCACGTCCACCTGCGATAAGTGAAAAACTGCAAAGTAGGGAGACAGTCGTCCAAGTTCAGTAAAGTTTGTCATGATGTGTCAGGCTGCAGTCACACTCATCACCTGTTAGTCCCAACCTCCCTCCTTAAATAAGCAATTTAAATTTAATATACTGCAACATGCTGCATGGATTGTTCATTTAAAATGTTACAGTACAGTATATATATATATATATATATATATATATATATATATATATATATAT